GGCGGGTCGTTTTCAAAATGAGGCTCTCGCCTTAGCGCCGCGTAAATTCGTTTCTAAACATTTGCCAGACCGTCACGGATTGATGGGGTTCGTTTTCAAAATGTCGCTCTCGCCTTAGCGCCACGCACATTCGTTCTAAGAAATCGCAAGAATTTCGCGGAATTCCCATGATCAGCGTACCAGAAATGGTGTTTTGGAAAGACTCTGGATTATCCGGGCGCAGCAGTTATGTTGATTCGCTGTGTTGACGTCCCAAAAACGGCGTTTTGGACCGATTCTGGATCGTCAAGACGCAGCAGTCAGGTTGATACGTGGCGTTGAAATCCCGAGAACATGTTTTGGCACGCTTCGGGATCTTCAACCTGTTGTCTTCCAACGAGGAAGTTCCCTCAATGGACATGAACCGTTGTAGGGGCCTATGAAGAGGGAGTTTGGAGGGAGGGTTAATTCCAACATCGTTGCTGACTCTTGGGTTTCCACTGGTCTTCCTCCTCCACCTCCTCCTCATCATCCTCCTCTTCCTCCTCCTCCGTTGCGGTTCAGCGCGGGGCGCCGATGGGCCCGATCGCTGACGGAGCCACTGGAAGTCCACGTCGGCCAACGGGGAAGGCCCCGGGGAGACTGCTAGTGGGGTAGTCGTGTAGCGCCAGGGGGGGCCAGCCCCCGAGTGGACGAGCTTGCACCAGTCGGCCTGTCTGCGCTCTTGGGGCATTCCCCGAGTTAGCGGGCGCGGTTCGAAGCTCGCTGCTTCGCGCCACGCGCGCGCGTCGCATGTCCGAGCATGCCGTTGCTGCCCAGTCGAAGGGAGCAGCGCAGAGCCTGGATAAGGCGCTCGCGGCCGCCCGCACGTCCGCTTCCCTGATGGGGGAGGCGGGATGGGTGACGTCGAGGTCGAAGCTGATGTTGTCGCTGTTCTCCCCCCTGCGCCTCCATCCTCCGAGAAGCTCAGTAATGAACCAGGTACCTGCGTGGCCGACAGCCCCGTCCTCTTCCCCGCGCACATGGCAGTGACTGGGGGCGCCTCTGTCAGCAGCCCTGGCCAGCTGCACGACGAGAAGGGGACCCAGGCCGCCCAGTGGGGGAAGCGGGGCAGGCCTGGAGCCACTCGGTCGGGGGTCCTCTAGGGTCCTCCACGGGCGCCCCAAGCGGCGGCAAGCGGGGCGCAGCCCCGGCGCAGTTCCCCGCAGCAGCCACGTGCCACACCACCGGCACAGAGGGCCAGGGCTGAAGAAGGAATCAATCTGGAGTCGTCTGGCCGCGCGGCCCCGAGGCCAGCGGGCGCCGGGAGCGCCCTCGGTCGTTGGGAGGCGGATTCCAGGGCGCGCGGGAGATGAGCCGTCGCCGAGGGGCGGGCGAGGTGGGATGGCCGCCGGGGTGGCCCACGACAAGGGCCCGCCCCCGCACTGCGGGAAGGGGGTGGACGGCGCGCCCAGCACATGGCCCCGCGCCGCGGAGGCGGGCCCACCGCGCAAGATGCTCGCGGTCTGGGAGGTGCATGCTGCCCACTCCGCTTTGCTCGTCAATGATAATAGTAGTCGCTCGTGCGACGGTGCGCGGGCCCCAGGGGCTAGGGTGCTCAAAGCGGGCCTCGGGCGCTGGCATGACCTCTATGAGCGGGGGGGCAGGCAGGGCGGCTCGCTCCTCTATCTGCTGATCCGAGGGAGGGAAGCCGCAGTAGACAACGGCTTCTACCATAAAAGCGCATGCCGCCGAGGCAGCTCCAATCTCAGCAGCGGAGGCTTCGTCGCGCAGGTCGGAAGGAGAGAGGTCGATCTCCCCCGAGCCATGAAGGACAGGGTCAAAAGGATCGCCAGGAGTCTGAACGCGAGCTGCCGCGCGCCGCGAGACTTGACGCCCCCCACCCTCGCTTCATAGTCGCAACCGCTGGCAGACCAGGCAGGGCCCGTGACGTCGAGGCAGCAGAGGGCACTGGCCACGCGCTGAGCGCGCGGGTCGTCGCCCAGTTCGGAATCTCGCGCGCCATCCTCCAAGGGGCCACCCGGGCCTCCGCAATCGCGGAGGGGGCGATGTCCCGCCCGGTTGCGCTGCTACGCCCGAGCACGTGAGCGGGCCCCCCCCGGCCTGTGCGGCGGGGGCCCAGAGCTCGAGGACCGCGGGGGGCTTCCTCCCTGGCTGATCGCGGAGGAGGGTTTGGTCCCTCCGCATCCGCGCCCTGTCTGTCTTGCGCGCGGCCATCCCCCCTGTGCCGGCGCGCCCCGGCGCCCAGCGGGGGCCCGGCGTTAGCTCTCGGCCCGATGGGCGCGCCGCCGCCCCCACGGGGGGGGACGGGGCCCCCCCTTTCGTCTTGCTCGTGCGGCGTGGCCCCCCGGGGCCAGGCGGCCGCGGCGCTTCCTATGGAGCGCGGTCAGGGTTCGAACCGCGACGGAGGGGGCAAGGGAAGGAGGCGGGGGAGGGGCGAAGGAGAGAAGCGTCCGCTCGCGAGTCGATCGGCCCCGTCGAGGGGACCTCACCCCCGGGGGGGCTCGGACCGATTTCTGCAACAGGTCCGGGGACGTCGCCCCCCAGACCAGGGGGGGGGGGATAGCACCCCCTCGCTGCAGCGAGCCCGGGGGGGGACCCGCTGATTCGAGCGCGCGTCCACAGGGGGGCCCGGCTCCAAAGGTCCTTCTGCTCTGTCTGTCAGGGGGCTCGTTCAGGCCCAGGGGAGATCCACTCAGCGGACTGCGCCCCCCTTCCCCCTCTTGCGGAGAGGGGGCGCCGGCGATGTGGCCCGCTAGCACCCAGCCCTCGCCTGAATGCCGAGGGGGCTGGGGTCGGGCGGGCGAGTCGCGGCGCGGGGGGGGGCCCTGCGTCGCTCGGCGGCCACGCTGCGGGATCTCGCGCGTCCGGGGCCGCTCGCGTCGCCCCCTTCCGCGGGAGGGGCCGCGTCGTTTGTCTCTCCTGCCCCGGGCTGGGCGGGATAGAGGCACTGCGGGGGAGATGTCGCCCGTGCTTGCGCCGGGGAGCGCGGCAGTCCCTTCCGGCGCGCGGGCGCCGATGCCAGGGTCAGCCGGGCGCCCTCCAGGGGGGCGGGGCAAGGGTCTGCCCTCGGCGCCCCGGACGCACCCTGTCCTCGCCCCAATGTCCGCGCCTGGTGCGGCGGGCCTCTCTCTCCCAGAGGGTCTCCGGTCGGCCCTGCGCCGTTCTGCCCCGCCTGAGCGCTGCCACTCTCTGCCGCCGGGCTGGATCTGAGGTCTGCTGAAGGACGGGTCTGGATGCTTCGCTGCGCCAGCGGGAGAGCTGAATCCTGGGGGGGGGGCGCCCGAGGCTGCGTGGAGGCCTGGGGGGGCCCCCACTGCTCCGAACTGACCCGCCTCCTCTTGCGGCGGGGGAGTCACCCCGCTCACATCGCCACTGGTCAGCGAACAGGCCGGCGAGTAGCCCAGAATGCGTGTCCAGGGGGGCGATCAGATCGAGGCCCAGCTAGGACGCAGCTAACAGCCGCAGAATGGTGTGGAATAGACCTGCCCGATCGATCGGTCTCGCGATCGGAGCCCGCGTGCCTCCTTGGCGGGGTGGCGACGAGCCCCGCCACCCCTGGCCTCGCCGCTGGCGAGGCGCTCTGTTGCTCACTGCTGGGAGGAGCGCCTCCCGGGGGGAGATCCGATCGCGGCCTGGTAGGTCAGCAGCTAACAGCCACGGACATTCGTGAGAAACTCGTGCCTGGTCGATCGGACTGATCCGCGCTGGCACTGTCCGTCTCCGTCGCTAGCGCAGGTCTGCGGCCTGCTCGGGGGGGGCTCTGGAAGCTCCGCTGGGCCCGCGGGGGGGGCTGAGCTCTGGGGGGGATTCACCCGAGGCCGCGTGGAGCCCTGGGGGGGCACCCACCGCTTCGCAGCGACCCACTGCCCCTGGCGGCGGGGGGGGGGCCCGCCCACCTCGTCTCCAGCCAGGCGGCGGGCCGGTGAGCCGCAGGAAGAGGCTTCTGGAGGGTGATCGGATCGAGGCTCAGCTAAGAAGCAGCTTACAGCCGCTGAATTGGGCGGGTAGTCCCGCCTGATCGATCGGCCCCGCGATCGAGGTCCACATGCCTGTCTGATGGGGAGGCACCGAGCTCAGTCACCTCCGGCCCCGCCGCTGGCGAGGCGCTCGACTCCGCACTGATGGGGGGCGCTTCTCCCGGAGGGAGGCAGGCCCGATAGGTGCGCAAGTAACAGCCGCGGAAATGCGCGAAGCATCCGTGCCTGGTCGATCAGTCTCGCGATGGAAGCCCCCCGGTCCCCCGAGGGGAGGCCGTCCGTTCCACCCGCCTTTTGTCTCGCTGCCAGCGAAGCGTGCCGATCCGTCTGCGCGGAGGGGACTCGGAAGGACGTCGTGGCATGTGGCGTGGGAGGAACGTCTAGCAAGTCTCCGCCGGGGGCATGTTGTGCATCCTCTTCCTCCGCTGACTCAGCCCGATCGAGCGCCGCTGCCCTGGGGGATACAGGGTCGCCGGCTCCGTCTCCGCCTCTGCGAGTGTCCGCCGCAACAGTGGGGGTATCGCCCCCGAGGGAGTGATCCGATCGAGGCCCAGCTACAGTGCAGCTAACAGCTGCAGAATTTGTCGAAGTTACCGAGGCCTGGTCGGTAAATTTCTCGATCCGACACCGAGGGCGCGGCGGTTCTGAGAGCCCGTCCATCGCCGCCGTGGGGGTGATCGTATCGCGGCTCCACGAACGCGCAGCTAGCAGCCGCAGTATTGTGGGTACAAGTCATGCCAAATCGGTCGATCCGCCGAGCGGAGCCCGAGGGGAGGTCGGTGTCGGAGGCCTTTTCGATCGGTGATGTGGGGTGCAGTCCGACCAGGCTTGGCCCCGAGGCAGGCGGGCCCGTTTGGTTCTCGGTCCCCAGGGGTCCCTGTCTGGCGCGATTCCCTGGCAGCGTCAGGGCTCCCAAGCCCTGCACTAGCTCTAAATACTCACCTGAGCTAGGGTCCCCCGGAAGCCGATCGTCCATCTGCTGAGGAGCCCGCGAGGGGGCTGCGGGAGCCACCAGCACAGGAGGGTGGATGGCGGCGCTGCAGCCGCGGGCAGAGGGCCGAGGCGCGGCGGCGGGCGCCCCTCTGGCCGCGCAGGCCAACCTCGAGCCCTGACCCCGGGGGGAGGAGGCCCCCCCCGGGAGACGGCTTGAGCCAAAGGCCCCCCCGGGAGACGTCTAGAATTCCTCCTCCTCTTCCTCCTCCTCCTCCACCTTTTCCTCCTCATTGTCCTTCTGTTCATCCCGTGGTGTCCTACAGTTCGTCCGCATCCACATATTCATCTTGTTCCTCCTCCTGTCCTCCTCTTCCTCCGCCTCCTCCTCCTCCTCCTCCCCTTCCTCCTCCTCCTCCTCCTCCTCCTCCTCCTCCTCCTCCTCCTCCTCCTCCTCCTCCTCCTCCTCCTCCTCCTCCTCCTCCTCCTCCTCCTCCTCCTTTCCTCCTCCTCTTCTTCCTCCTCCTCGCCATGTTCCTCTTACTCATCTTCTCTTCCCCGCGGCACTGAAGCACGAACACCGCAGCGATGCATTGACATTGAAAAAGAAAGAAAGGTGTAGGAGAGGAGGAGGAGGAGGAGGAGGAGGAGGAGGAGGAGGAGGAGGAGGAGGAGGAGGAGGAGGGAAAGCGCACGTCGCCTTGGGGGGAACGTGTCGTCTTACGTATGGAGAGCAGCGCGGGCGGCGCTGCGAGCTTGGTTGATCAGCGGCTCTGGGGCGCTGTCCACCAGGCCCAGGTTGGGCCGAAGTTTGTGGTAGCTATGGTGAGCTTGAATTATGGCGCAATGCACTTTGGCCGTGCTGATCCTTGGAGGAACTGCCACACCCACCCCACCCATTCCGAGGCGAGTCAGAGAACACGGAGGGAGAAGGGTACTCAACTCGGGATCAGCGGCCGCCGATGAACGAGGACAAAGCAAATAGTGTGCAATAGTGTTGGGCTCTGAACATCCGAGCCGGCAAATCGTCTGGGGCAAAATCTTTACCCGTGAGTTCGTGATTCAGGCACCTTCAATCGCTTTGATGTGCGGCCACTGATGGCTCGGAGGCCACCGAGTTAGAAAAGCTTTGAGGTGTCGCCTGCGGTCGTGTCAAGCTATGCATGAGGAGGGGGAGGGAGATCAGGGAACCAGGAGAAGAGCCGACGACCGATCAGGAAGGGCATGGTGTTAGGGAAGGCAAGGGAGCGAAGCGTCGCCGAGAACGTGACTTGCATGCGTGGTTGCCGCTTCCTTCTCGCAGCGAGGGCTCTCTCAGCGAGCGCGGCTGAGGAAGAAGAGTAATGATAATAATACAAGTGACAATAATAACAAGGATAAGAAGAAGAAGGAAAAGAAGAAGAAGAAGAAGAAGAAGTAGAAGAAGAAGTCGACGAGGGGGAGAGAAAAAACACCGGAGCAAGGGAGGAAGAAGAAAACGGATGGGCACTGCGAGAATTGGTTAGGTGCCGCGCTCGCCCAGCGCACCTCCCAGCACCACGACTTGACAAAGTGCTTCGCAAACCCTGGTGATTGGTACCGCCCTCCTCGCCCCCTGCCTCCTCCACCAAAATGTCCCGTGCCAACCGCCTGCAGAACACGACAAACTGTGATGTGGTGTAGTCAACGCCGCGCCGACTTCCTGAAGTAGAAGGTCGAACATCAGCTGGCACCACACCACAGTTGATGGCGGTACACCCACGGCAATCTAAACATTTGCTGCGGGTCGTTCCAAGTTCCCGCATTTGCCCCCCCCTGCTCTGCGCACCCCACATCCCCCTCGAAACCCACAGACAGGCGCGACGCCGCAGGCGGACGCGCAACTTTGCCAGGGGGGGAGAAGAAGAAAGAAAAAACTTGAGAGGGAAATAGAAGGAGGTGAGGTAATCCATGAGAGCAGCGCCGATGCCTAAAAGTCGCCGTGGGGGCGTCGCGCAGCCGAGCTCTGGCAGCTTAGAACAGGTGCTGCTAAGAAAGCGACACAGCTCCGAACTATACTGTTCGGATTGTATCTCTCGGGGGCCCTCGGCAAGGCTGCCGCTGTCAGTTTCCCTTAAGACTTCCTGGCAACTGACTACCCCGAAGCTTGAAATGCTCAACCATTTTTCTTAGGGAGAAGATGGGAGCGGACACCGACCAATCCGCTGCCTCTCAAAGGGGTGATGACCCTGCTCAACGGCGCGCCTTTGTGTGTCGTTGAGCTTGAAACTCTCAACCATTACATTGACGGGGTGCTGATGATTTTCAAAAGTGGCTCTCGCCTTAGCGCCGCGCACTTTCGTCGTCAAAGCTTCCAACAATTAGACGGCATGGAGTCCGCGTGGCTTCGCACATTCGTCTTAAACGAGCACAGTTACACGGGTGCAGGGGTCGTTTTCAAAAGGGTGTTATCACATTGGCGCCGCGCACATTCGTTTTGAGGCCGGCAACCATTACACAGACGGAGGCTGGCTCATTTTCAAAATGGGGCGTTCGCCTGAGAATTCCTCAAGAATATGGCCATATGGGCAAAGTGACCGCTCCGCTGCACGCCTTCGGGGATCGGCCCCAGCCCGACGATCGCCTGGAAGTCCTGGCGCGAGGGATGGGGAGGAGCGGCGATAGAGGAGGGAGGAGGTAATGCGCCAGGTAGGAGGCAGGATGATAGCTTGAGGAGGGGATGAGGCAAGGGGGAGGAGGAATAGGATCAGGGAGGAGGATTGAAAGGGTGAGGAGGGAGGAGCTGGGAAGGGAAGTGGCACGGGGGCCAGGCCGACCTGTCCCTTCCCTCCAACTGGATTCCCCGAGCACGATGCTGTGCGGCGCTTTGCTGTGGTCTGGGGTTGCAATGGTAAATGCTTGTCCGAGCTCCCTGTGAAACAGGGGGACCGCATGCCGCAGCGAGAAAGAACTCCAGCATGACAACGCAGCCCTTTGGGGCGTGGGTGCTTGAACGAATGTTGTCTTCTCTCCCCATCCTTCCCCTGCTCCAGGGATGGGTTCATCACTGCTCCTTATTGGTGAACACCCCCTGCCCCACCCGACTGTGGGCCAACCCGGGACACCGCGACCACTCTGCATTGGTTTTTGGGGGAGACGGCGGGGGCGCTGGCCTACTGTTTGTTGCGCTCAAATTGCGCGCAAGCCAACCGTCCGTCAAACAACAATACAGAATGCACTTTGCCTCCCAATCTAGAGCATGCGCGGGCGCCCCGCGACCACTCGGCGGGCGCCCCGCGACCACTCCGCATTGGTTTTTGACATCGGTGGCGGAGGTGCCGGCATATTGCTTCACTCGCGCAGGCCAACCATCCCTGTCAAAAAATGATGCAGAATCAACCCAGTGGCGGCTGTGCAGTGGCGCACCTCGCACGCACTGCGCGCGCCGAGCCCGTAGCGCACCTGGCGCGGCTGGAGCACGTGGCGCACTTGGCGCTCGCGGAGCACGTGCCGCACTTGCCGAGCCTGGCACGCTTGGGCCGCCAGGGAGCCTGGTGCACCTGAACCCGGGGCGCACATGGCATGCGTGGCGCTCCTCGGCGATGTGCTGAGACTCGGGTACTACGCTATGTATTGTGAGGGCGGGTGGGAGTGAGCGAGACGGCTTGCAGTCTTGGAGGGGACTCGACCCCTCCCCCTGCCCCCTCCCCTGGGCCTGAGATCGGGAGGGGGGCGGGCAGTTAGAATTTAAAGATGGGCCCAAGATGGCTCCAAGAGGGACTCGGCAGCCCAAGACAGCCTCCAAGATGGCTGAAGATGGTTCAATATGGCCTCCTACGTGCCTCCGAGAGGCCTCAAGGCATCCCCGAGACGGTTCCCCAGGACGGTGCCAAGTGCCCATCGAGCCTTCCTAGGCGCCCTCCAAGAAGCCAAAATCTTGTAAAAACCTATGGAGAACCATATTGATTGCCTTCTCGCTTTCCAATTCCGATGGGCTTTTGAGGCTTTACGATGGCCCCAAGACTACACAAGAGAGCCCCAAGAGCGCCCAAGAGCGCTCCAAGAGAGGCCCCGGAGAGCCCCAAGACGCCATTGTTGAGTCTCCGAGGGGATGACCTGAATTGGATCCCTCCCTCTCTTTGAGCCACTGTGCCCAAGGGGCCCCCAGGACACTTCCTATGAGCCCCAAGAGGGCCCCAAGACTCCCGAAGTGAGCCCCAAGAGGGCCCCAAGAGGCCCCACGGGGATCCCAAGGAAGCCCCCAAGATGGGCAAGATGGCCCCCATCGTCCTTCAAGAACCTCTCATCATCGTCCTTGTCATCGTCCGTTCCTTCCCTCCTTCTTTCCTGCCTCCTCCTCCTCCTCCTCCTCGTCATCAAGGTGGCCCGATCGATTGCGAGCGACTCCGCGCCACCTCCCGCGCCCCGAGGTTCGTACTTCTCGCAAGGGCCCTCTCGCCTGGCAGCCATGGCGGCGGCGTGCCCTAGGGCGCTTTCATGAGCGCCTCCGCGGGCCTGCTTCGGTTCGTCAGCTACAACCCCTACGCCGCGTCCCGAGTCTCCCGCATCGCCGACATCGTGGCAGAATACCCCGCGCACGACATCATCGTGTTGGGCGGGATCCGGCTTCGCAGCTCTGGTGAACTTATCGAGCCCGAGCTTATCGTCGACACTCGTTTCGCTGCTACAGGTGCGGCTACAAGAGGGGCCCGTTCGTCACACCTTCCTGCGGAATCAGCATTATTCTAAAAAACATCGGCTTCTTCGGCACTCAGTCAAGCGAATACTTCCAGTTCCCAAACAGTTGTGGGGTCGAGCAGGATGTCTACTCGTTCGGCAGAAAAAACACGCTTTCGGAATCATCGGCTTATACGTTCCTGCTCGTGTCTCAAAAACGGGCCGGAAGCAGGCCTATGATAAGGCAGTATCAGCAGACAGACACTCGAGTTTGTTGACAGCAAGCATGATCACCGTCTTCTCTACATGGACTTGAATGGTGGGCTCGTGTTCTCAGAAGATGATTTCGTAGCCGGCGCTCATGCCATGGGAAATTCATGTCCAGCCTATATCGATCCCGTTGTCGTCCCTCGTGCCCTTCTTCCCGCTGTCGAATCATGTTCAGTTCACTCACGCAGCGCACGGATAATACAGCTACACCAAACTGCATCAGCACGAGATCATAGGCCCGTTATACTAGTCTCGCACATCGTGGCTTCTGCTGCCCCTCTTCCTGCTCGACCCGTTCGCCCCAATCGTGAAGCGATGTACGAGTGCGTGCAGATAGGGTTCAAACGAGAGGAATTCATCAGCGTGATAAATCGCAAGGTGGAGGAGGTGATGGAGGAGTACGAGCAGATGAAGGAGGAGGGGAGGATAGACGACATGAACACCACACTCATGCATGTTCTGAATAGTGCTGCATGCGAGGTCTTTACCACCTCTCCATTGTTACGAGTGCTCAGCTATTGGAGGGACTTCTCGCACAGCGGCGACAGCCTAGAGAACGGTCAGGACGAGCCGAAACAGAATACGATTGCCAGCAAATGACCGACAGCATCAAATCAAATTCCTCAGTCGCCAGCTTAGGGACACAGCTCGAAAACATTGGGAAGATGTACGAGCTCGCAGGGTTGATGAACTAAGGCCAACACTCGAACAACGCAATCATTATCTCGTGCACAAGCTTCCTAGGCTTCTCGCAGGCAAAGGACGCGGGCCACGCAAGCGGCAATTTCGAGCACTTCCTCAGTCATCCGCGTGCGCGGCCATGCGGTCAGATTGGATGAAGCAGCCAGCAGCTGAAGGGGGGTGCTCAGCAACAGAATCGTCCCTGGACCAGATTCACCTGGAAGTTCAAGGCCTCGAAAAGGCCTCCCAGAGATGACTTAGAAGCTGTCTTGATCGCCATGGAAAACTGCGATGCTAATGTCTGAGAAGGTCTGGAAACTCAGGTTCTGGAGGACGTGGCCCGAATGGTCCTGCCCCCCAACTGCTTCGTCTCCTTCTTCACCCTACATGGGTCAACGAGCGACGTCTTAGGGCACGTGCTGGACTAGGGCTAGGTGATATCGAACTTGAAGAAAATCGCTCTTCTGAACTACTCAAGAAGCTGCTATGGGCTTGCAGGCGCTTGAGGCGAACTCCCGTTGCTTGGCATGCTGCACAGGCGGCTCGTCTTCCTAAGAATGCCAAAGTGGATTCCGACGGCGAACGGATTATCATGGTTATGTGCACTCTGGGTCGAACTACAATGCAGGGGCACTACATCGAAAACTCAACTCCTGGTCCCCTCCTGATTGGGTCTACGGCGGACTCAGACATCGTCGACGGGAACAGCCATGGCAGTCCAGATTATCGACAGCTTTCGCATGCAGAAGGGTGGAGTTTCTCACCTGCCGAGGTGCCACGACGCCTCCAACGCGGTTTCTCTCTTTGAAGCACTCCGTAGTGCTCGACGCCGCCGACTCGATATATCTCGAAGAGGATATGGAGTTTGTCGAAGATCGCATCAGCAGGAAAATCTTCAACATGGAGGATGAGTCAGGATGTTTGGCTTCGACCAGGGACCGGGGTTCTTCCTGGAGATACTGGGGCTACGCTTTTATTCGTTTAGTCGTTCTCGCAGCCCGTCACGCAGAATGTAGCAGATCAGTTTTGTACTCACGGATGGCACGTCGCCGTCGAGGCGCGCTTGCCCTGGGACGAGCACGGCACTGACATCAGGCAAGTTGCTCTCACAGGCTTTGTAGATGACGTCGATAACAAGGCGATGGAGATCGGAGAGGGGAAAGCACTACAACATCTGGCGGCGGGATCCGAAACAGAAAATCAAGCCATATCGGGCGGGATGAGGGAGGTGGGAGCATTGCATAATATTGCCAAACAAGGAATCATAGCGCTCCTAGCAGGAATGAGCACACAACATAACACATATGTTGCATCGAGGCGACGGCTCAGCAACTGCCGGAGCTTTTCGGCAGCATGTCCGCTATCTCGGCGGCCACTTCTCCTCTACGTTCTCACCAGCCCCAGAAGTGGGCAAGCGGCTAGTCTCGCTCCGCGTTAGCTACTATATTATGGGCAGTTTCTGGTGCTCGTCCGCGCCTTGGAAGCTCAAGGTGAATCTCGTCGAAGTGCTACTTATCAACAGCGCTCTGTCTGGGATGGAAGTCTGGGCAAAGGCTAAGGGGCCTCTTACGCCTCGAGCTATTCAGATCCTGGAGACCTTCATCGTACATAGGTGCAGGGCCATTCTGGAGGGCACGTGTTCTGGGGAAACGGGGCATGCAAAGACTCTCACATCCACGCGGGTTCTCAAGAAGTTTGGAGTGAGGCCCCTCTTTCTGGAGTAAAGGCTACGTAGACTTAGGTGGTATCAGGAGCTCGGCAAGGCCAAAGAGATCCATGGGCAGTTTTGGGCGGCTATGCTAGGCTGTATGGCAGTAGATGGTGAAGTTCTGGTCAATTGACGAGTACCTCCACAGGGGCACCCATGGGCACTACAGCTTCAACAAGATATCGATCTCCTTGGGACCATAGAGCCTGGCCAAGACTCGTTACTACAGGCGGACAGCCGCCTGAATCATGTACTATTTGATCCAGTTCTCCGCGAAGATGTTCAACAGATCGATGTCAGCGAGCTGCGGGCGCATT